GTGGGAAGGCTCAAACAGACAGTGTCTGGGGTGGCTGGCCGTGAAGGTCCCCGGAGACGGGCCACTCTCCTGGGAGTGACCGTTCCGGGGGCTGTGTGAGCTGCCTGCTCTTGTGTCAGCTCCTCCAGGCTGGATTCCTGGGGGTACAGATCGCCAGCCCTCTCCTCTGCGAGCCCCTGTGCGGGTTCAAACCCACAGGGCTTGGGTTTGCAGCAGGTGCACCCCCAGGCCCCGTGTGTGCCACCCAGGGCTGCCGAGAGAGGGGACAGGGACGTGGGTGGTGCGGCACAGCAGCTGCGTGTCCCCGCACAGTCTGGGGGTGTAGATTTGGTGCTGGGCTCGCCCCCAGCCCTGTGGGACACTCCTGAGCCTTGGGGTCCTGTGGCCCAGGCCGCCTGAGTCTGGAAGGTACATCGTCTCTGGGCCCTGGTCTCCCCGCCTATCTCTTTGTATCTCTACTCCTTTGGGAAGACTCCATTCAGATGGGGGTGGGGGTGGGGGGTGGCCGTGGTCTGGCTCGGCAACCTCACTCACCCACCCATGCCGTCTGCTGAAACCTTGTCCCCAAATACAATTTCTTGATCAGATAGTGGGGTTGGGGTCCCCCTCTGGAAGAGAACTGCTCCAGAGTTGGTTTCAGGGCAGGGATTTGGGGGAGCAAACTGTCTTCTGAGCCGCCTCTGGGTGACTTTGAAGCACCAGCTGAGCACTTAGCAGAACCCAACACTAACCTGATTGTGCCAAAGTCCAGTAGCTTCCAACCCAGAGGCCCTGGGGGTACAGCGGGGTACGTGTCCATTACTCACCCACCTGCTGCTCTTCGGGAGAAAGTTGAGGCCGTCTGCTACCCTAAAATTTATAGCCTGGACCCCAGGGAGCAGTCCTGCGCTGCCTCTGGGGTCCCAATGGTCAGGCAGCCACTAGGCAACTAAACTGTTTGCTCCACCGGGCACAGGGGGCTAGGACTTCAGGGTGTCCTGGAGTGGGGGTGAGGGGGCCCTGGTCCAGTCTGTAACAGGCCAACAAGAGGGGTGGGGAGCGAGCAGAACCTGCAGGGGTGGACTCGGGTCGGGCGCCCAGGTGTGGGGTGTGCACGCTCCAGGTGGAGGTGGCACAAGAGACAGAGGAGGGTCTCCCCGCAGGAGATAGAGTTGGAGATTATACTCAGAGGGACCCTTGGAGATGAGCCGTCCGAGGAGGAGGGACAGCCGGGCCTCGCGTTCAGGCACCTCGTTCCGTGTGCTTCTCAGATGCAGGTGTGTGACCACCCGCATCCGGCCAGCCAGGGACCACCGCTTGTTTCGCCAGCACTCGCTTCTGGCCCTGTGCCCCGTTGTGGTGATCTGGTGACATTTCAGGTTTCCTGGAGGTCTGCTGCACCCTCATACCGACACCAACCACTCCCCCACTGTGGAGTCTGAGACTGCAGCTCTGACAAGGTGACAGCCTCTTCTTGCTCCCAGGGGCCAACTGGTGCTTTCAAACTGCCAACCTGACAGTGAGCAGCCCAACGCTTAACCATCTCTCAGCTGCCCCTGTGTCCAGTCACCTCCGTACTCTCCGCACCAGAGCCCAGCTCCCAGGGATTCCCCACCCCTGACTCACAGCGCTCCC